ATCAGAAATAGACTGGTTGACTGACTGTTTGCTTATACGCGCGGGCGTTCCGTTTTTCAGATAAAATAAAGGCGGCTGACAATGAGAGAATTTAGCATTTGATTTTGTTTTTTTTCAAAATAAAGAATTTGGTTCGTGGATTCAGTGATAAACTAGTTACGTCGAGTGTGTTACTTTTACTAAGAAAAAAGCGTTTTATCAACGTTTTGGTAAGAGAGAGCGTCAGTCTTCTTCTTCCTTCAGGCAAATGAAATGGAGTCCTTTTATTCTGAAACGAAAAAACACAAAAAACTAAACTCATATCGGCGTGACGTGAATAACGAAACTATTAGAGGTCAACACAATGCGCATTAGGTTGGGGAAGGGGCGGCGGAGGGGGGGGTGCAGGGGCGAGATACCAGGGAAAAAGTTATTCAAATGCTGTTTCTGGAGGCAGCACATTCAACGAAAACAAAATTGGTTTTTGCCATGATTAATAAAAACAACAAAGCAAAACAAAATTAATCATTTCTGTGTAGGATTGACTCTAGCGTTTGTTCCAAGAGTTTTTCTCCAAGTTCTCTTTGGTTTCCCTCCCTTCACAAAAACCAACAATTTTTTATTACCATGAGATCTGGAGTCCGAGGGCCACAGGTTTGTCCTTTGGAATACTGTTACGTGCAAGCCTTGTGAAATAAAGCAGATTTTATTCTGAAACAGTCTTACCCTACATTCTTACACTGCAGTCCAACCTTACATGGTCCACAGTCTGGTTCCACCATACCACCGTCATAAACATGATGGAATAAATTGATTGGGCCACACGACTCAAACTCGTTTAGCAGTGGCTTGCACAAAGACGTATGTGGATTGACCGAAATTTCCCGAACACAACACGACTCCTTGCCGAGGCAGTCCGATGTCCTATCGCAGTATGTACCCGGCTCACCTTGCTCCACACCCTTGGTACAGTGCCCATATTGGCAGACATATCCCTCACAACAGGTCCCTTCAATTTTAAAACATGTCGGTTTAACAAATTGCTATAATGTAGGCAATAACTACATTGGAACTTTCATACGGAAATTAGCACAACATCTGCAACAAAACTAACAATATATCAAATTGCAAACCAACCAACTAATAACTAACTAAGCACTTAGCGAAAGGAACCTCGGGTAAAAAACCGGTTGCTTTCGCGGGCTAGTCTGCTAGTTATTTTAGATGCTGTAGTTTGACATAAACTAATCGTGAAGCTAGGTATACTTTTTAGGACATGTCAACTTTCAAAGATGATAATAACAATTAGTATCACCCAACTAGTGGACTAATGCAAATCTTGCATTTTAATTGCCTACGAAATTAACAATTAGACCCGTTAACAATTATTTAACAATTAGACCCGTAGCCCTTGCGGGCTACGGGTCTAATTGTTAAATATCAACAATAACCTTATATAACTGCAACTTGACCGTAACTGGAATCAAGTTGCGCAGCCTCATAATAACACCTGTTTTCTGACTAGTTTTCGTACAAACCTCACGTATATAACCAGTGAGGCTCACCATGCTGTCAATATTTACTCTTAGAAGTAAAATATTATGATAATAAATGTTCAACCTGAGTATCTTTGACATTTACCTCAATCTGTCGCTTACCTATGAAGACACTTCTATATTTCTTAAAATGCCATATATCTTAAGTGTAAACAGATTTCTACTCTTCTCACCAATGAAATGACACGATGCTCCAGCGTGTAGACAAGCCCTGCATGTATGGACGTCACAAAATCTCCCGGCTGGGCAGTCTTTGTTGACATTACACTCTTCGCTTCCTGCCTCGACCATTGCGCGGTAATGCCATGGGAACATATTAGAAATGAATTGCTACAGAAGGAAATGAAGGAAAAAAATCTCCATCCGTTGTATTTTTAATTTATTTTACTATAAATTTATTCTGGTGAAAACTGCAGGTATTGACCCTTTAACGAGAACTTGCCCTGACGAGAGGTCTTCTCCCGACTGCATCAGGCCTAAACAGTTTAGTGCCCAGTCTTTAACACCCGAGCTGAAACTGTTGCGTAGAGCACGAATATTTTGCGACTTACTGTTATGAGAGAGCAATTCGACCAAACGTGACTGTATTTTGTTTAACTAATAAGGACGGAAAAGTAGGTCTATTTTGTGATCAAAGGACTAGTGACTCAGTTTACTTTAACATTCTGGTTGTTGAAAGTTCCTCATATCCACGGTATGGTTATCTGATAAATCATAACTGAGGTTCACATCAGTTGAAGGGCTTTCACCAACTGATCAACAATACATAACTTCATTTTTTTTTTTGCCATGGTAAGGAATTGCACGACCAGCTTTTTTTATGTTATTCAGTGATTTGTCCCTTGTGTCGGTACCAGCTTTACGCTTTAAGAGTGAATGCCTACAAAAATGGACCTNTACTAGCTAGGGCCAATCTATGGGCAAAAAATGAGCAAAATCGATTTTTCGACTTGTGCCGTTGTTTGGTCCATAGTTATGGGCACTGGCTCTTAAAATGTTTCAAACTGGGATTTGTTGACAACCGCTCCTGGCTTATGTTTTAAGAACAATTTTTAAGCTAGAAAGCCAAGCTCTGGTCCAGGACCAGTCTATCGTGAACTTTACTTTGCGGTCAGGAAATCACTTATAGAAGATGTATGAAGATGGAATTAATAATAATTTGTGGTATCTTACCCGTTTGTTCGATGATGTATCTTCAACTTTTTGCTCTGTTGAACTCAGAGTGATATTTTTCTTTCCATTGGACTCTGAAACCGCTAACAAGAGTTCTATAAAAAATAGTATCAGTGTTGTTTTTGAAAACATTTTAAGCCATTTTCGTAAGCAAAGCGAGGGCCCTCTTCGTCTGAGTCTTACATATCAATAATTTATTACTATAAAATATGGCATTTGAACCAGTTGGCAGCAGTGACGATCACTGAAGACTAGACTTGAAGTCTAATCTGATATGAATGACATGTAGGAGTCTCTGCCAATATCCCAAAAAGATAATATAATAAAAGCATGCTCCAAGGGGAGAGATATCTTTGTTAAATCTTGGTTTAAACTTACTTATCTAAAATAAGTCAGTAAAGAAGGAAAAGACATTAACGAGATTCTTTGGCTGCTCCATCTCTTTTACTAGTTTCGACTGGGTTTTAAATACCATCAAAGTTCTTCCTTTTGTAGTCGAGTAAAGGTGTTGCTGACTTGTCATGAAAGTGATTTCTTAGTTGAACGACATATTGCTTCTACTACGATTAATGCAATTGCAACGAGGACCGTGGGTAGTGAAAGAAATATGGCGCTCCCGCGCTTACGCTGGCTGAAAAACGCTCGTGATACAAGCGTGCAGAACGGATGTTGCCATGACAACAAACAATAAATATTTATCTGAATTGCTGGCAGACTGGCTGACATTGCTGTTAACTCATTTGTTCGGAGATGGAGATTTGTTGGGAGTTCATGTCCTCGAGCTATGCATGTTTCCCCAGAAGGTCACGTCTCTGACAAGTGTTCTAATCACTCTTGACACCACCTCTCATCCATCCACATGCATTTCTCTCTAACATTATGGCACCTTCTGAAGTGTCTATGACGTCTTTACAAAGCGATAAACATCTCTGTCTGTTTGTTCCGAGTGATGCTTTCGCCTATCACCACACCAAAATTCGCAATTAGCCAATCAGAAGCCGTGTGTACTGTCCTCATATCCCACGATATCAAAGTTCCTGAACTGATATGGCTACGATATCATGGTCACATGGCCGAATTTGGGTAAGGTAAATACCTAATCATGCCTTTTTATGGTACGTTTTCCATGGTACGCTACGGCACGCTACGGCGGTATATCAGGCTTGTTTGGTCTCGCCAAGGGTATTTTGGCGTGCTTAGGTCTCGCCAA